TGGTCATCTTCATCATCCAACATATTCATGTTGGATGTGAACGCGGTCCTGGACGGACTACGAAGTGCTACCAGGTGTAACGGGGTACCCTGAAGCTTGTACTGGTGACAGTACAAGCTACTTATTCTGATAACAGAATAAGGCGGTGCCTCGTAACTTCACGTACACTCGTACGTGCAGAGGAAGACAGTAAGAAGAAGCGAGTACTTGGTTAAAGTGAAAAGTAGAACTGTATTTAGTATAGTTAATGTCTGCAATAAATCACTATTTATCTTCATCTAACTATGTCTAAATACAAATGTGTAAATCAACTATCTGCTCACCACTCATTGCGTGCGTCTGTCGTGGCGCGTCTTCGTTGGTTGATATAATGGCCTATATCAATCAATTAGGAACTACTTGTAAGTGCAACAGAATATTTGTCCTTATGACAATATTCTGAGAATATAACTCTTACAGTTATATTCTATTAACAATTTCTTATAAATTGTTATGTAACGATTCACCCCGTTACAGTAACCGGGCGGTTGTTTTCATGTACGAGATGGTGGTAGTGTTTCCTGTGCCGACTGTGCTGCCCTCTTGGTACGAGCTACGTAAAAATGAGCATATGCCACGGTGAGTGTGTATCCAACCTTAGACGATCGGAAGATGCGCATAAGCTGTACATCGATTAGGTAAAAGAGTTCCTGATCGCTTTATTAGGAAAAAGAGTTCCTGATTGCTTCATTACTTTCCACGACAGGCTTCGTCACGAGTGCAGCGTCGCTTTCGTAAACGTGCTGCCGCAGAGCCTTAACAATTATGCTCAGCTGTATCGAGGTAAGACACGGTGACAATGTGTTGAGCGCTGCGCAGGCCCCGCAGATTAGGTCAAGTACTCGTGTCAGTACACCACTGTATGAGCAATTTCACTCCAGTTCGTGCCTGCTTGATCTGCTACCTCGTCATCATGCCAGTCGCGCTAGAAAAAATTACCTATGCTCCTCTAGTGGAGCGTACACGATAGAAGAAAGCAGATACCTGGTCAATGTTAGCATCAAAAGATGAGCTTGTCTTGCATGACTGATCCTTTCGCTACCTGACCCTGCAGTAGAGGCTGCCCGAATACATTCTATATAAGACTGGTGAGTTCGGCACACACGAATTACAACCAAGACGATGGGTTGCAGAGCATGACAGCGTGCGTAGCTTTGTTCGAGAAGAATGCTCGTGCAAATTGAAGCCCAATATCGATCGTGATTTCACCGGTGACTACAACCACGTGAAGCAGACCACATTTTGTGCGTACTTGACTTCAGTGCGCTTTTGTGCGGCGTCGCGCGACTTCTGTTAATAAAAATCTTATCATTTGCGCATCCTGGGGTTGCGATCCGTATAAAATCACTGTCGTATGTCCATCTTGTGGCATAGAGATCTCGTTCCGTGCAAAATACGTCGGCACGACTGAGCTTCAATGACGACCATTGCCTGGCGTGCTTTACCGAATCCATGCGATGCTTTGCAAGGCACTTGTTGAGGGTGCATGCATTTGTTAAGAATTACCAGACAGCAGGCTACCGGACTGGCTTTGTGGCGCCAGCTGTGACGAGACGGCAAATTGCTGTACTGTGGTCGTGAAAGGCGGTTGTTCTACTTGGTGTTACACTGCCGATGTTTATGAATATCGCGACACCAATGCCGTGGAATATTTAGTTTCTTCTCCTTGGTGTCTTGAAGTGGCCGGAAGTGCATAAGAGCGGGGATTTTGTCGTACTCTTACAACAGAATATTGCTAGCTTTCGGAAAGTAAGGGTAACGCTATTCCGGTAATCGGGAAGATGCACAGTCGGGCTCTATACAGGCCGGATGTATACATGATACGAATTTATTGCTCAGCAAAGCACGGCATACTATACAAGGGATCCAGTACACGAATCGAAAAGATCATATTGCAACGTTATTGCCAAATATATACCAACTCGGCCAAGCCTTTTTATATGCTCCGTGATGCATAGAAAGCAAACGTCGACCGAATGTGAGTTACACAACAACACTGACGTCATACAATTATTCGTAGGTGGCAATCCGAGAGCGCTAGGCTGCTTACTTTATATCATGAACAGAGAATACGCCACAACCATGTCACGTGTCCTCAAAATTATAAAGGCCAGCGTTGTGTGTGGATGCGAAACATTTGTCTTCAGATGGAGCTGTTGGTTCTAAAAACATATGCATCATGTCCGTGACGCACGACCTCCAACGCATCGCAAGTCGACATACATCCTGTAGTTAGCTCGTAGCATATTCAAACCATTTTATTGCATGTATCGCCCCTACCTGACAAAAACGCGTTGTGTTTTCGGATGGACAACATTTGTTCGTTAAAGCATAGACTTGACGACACCTGGTCGATGACCCCTAGCAGTCAAAGAATGCCATCAGGGAAGGTTTGCATATGGAGAATGCTGCGGCATTCGTTACCCACGCATCTTACCTCGGAGGAACACTCTCCAGAGAGAGGAGCTTTGTAGAAATATAGAAATTAAATTATCCAATCAATCTTCAATAAACATTAAAACAACTTCGTTATTGATTTAATTGTTGAATTCAAAAAATAAGTGCTTAGCAATTGTTGAAAAAAGCTAATTCTGAATAATCAAATGAATAAGTGAAACTAAAAGTAATCGTGGAATTCGTTGACCTTCAGTGCTATTATATTGTGCTGGTGTTGTTTCGCCGCGGCTTACATGATACAACATTTAGTTGAGGACGGAACGTATTTCAAAGTTATTTCTCCAGTATTGCTTCGCGGAATCCCATAAACGAGAAGGTAGCTACTTTATTACTTGCACTTCTAATACGAAGCCAATACATCATTGTCGACTATGGGTGACCGGCTACGGCTGATCCAAGAACTTTAGCTTCGATCATCTGAGGCTGAAACATTCGTTGTTCGAGTTCTCTTGTAGCTGAGGGAGGAGCGCCGCTTGCCTAAATCCCGTACGTCGTGCACGAACTGCTTGATTCTAGGGGTAACTTTAGATACACACCTTCATACTCGTCAGCCATCCACTTAACTAAATTAAATTAAATGACAAAAGCTAAGAGGAAATCCTCTTTTAACAAGGTTGCGTCCACTTGTTAGCCTCAGTCATACCTCTTTTTCCGTCTTCGTTAGTTTATCGTCTACACAACAATAAACTCTTATATCTTCACCTCTGGTGGTGCAGCTCATAAAGTTGAACATACAGTCGCTCCTTTTCTTGAAAATTCTATCAATGTCACTGCATACACCGATGACGACACTACTGATACAGTCAATCCTTTCGCACCGGCTCATAATATCATGGAGTTGTGAAGACCCCTACCGGTAGATCCATTCGGATGTCAAAGGAACATTTTTGTTCCGTGAAGCGCTACGGTGTGCGCAAAGGTTTTGCTGTCAGCGCTGTCCACGCAATATCGCGCGGCACCAAGCGCGTTTTCTTTTTTGCACGCAAAGAAATTACTTAGAAAGGGGAGCAAGCTCTTGAGCTCGCCCTTGATGTAAGTAATTCTGTTCACAGAACTATATAAAATTACAAAATACTATACAACGGCAGGCACTGAAGAATGAGTTTGATGCTGTTAATTAGATTAATAACATAGTACATCATGCTTGGGCTTTTGCTTTTGAGCGTCCAGCATTTGCTTATGTGATCATACTCATCTTTGATAGATTTTAAGCCAATTACGTGCGTGCATTACAATGTGGACTTAGCCATAGAGTTACATTCATCATGCTTAACGACTTATACGGGGGAAAGCTAATTCGTCTTTAGTACGAGTAAGGTTCACCTAACCGCCTAATTTACAGACACAGACAGATAGTGAAGGGACAGAAAAGTTAGATACAAAAGTGCGGTACTCATCCTTGCGCACACTCACTTATAGCTTCACCCTTCGGGCTCGCAATCATATTTCCACGGGTGGTTAGTGTCGTTGCAAGACCGCGGATACCAAACGCTTTTGCAGTGTGTGTGAGATCGCGGTCATCTTTGACAAGAACTTGCGCATAATTGAGCCCGGCCGACACTTTAAAACTACGGCCACTTTAGACACGTCCGACGCATGGAAAATGTAAAGTTGTCGGCATTACCGGCGGCGCGGCGTGTGCCACGACAAATACACTATACGAAGGCTGCATTTGTTCATATGCGTTAATTTACAGGTTACTGCACAATAATGTGCGCGCATGTGATCATGTAAAAATACATTTAACATGTACCATACCTATTTTAATTCCCGGGTCACTGAACTACCTCTAGAAGACGAACATCAATACAAAAACAAAGTGATGTCCACATCCACTTCCAAGAAGCTATCTGTAAGGCTCCGTGCGTGAGAACGAATGCACGGTCTACGCCAAGACCGCGATGCTTTCGACTCCATCCGTGTTCGCACACAACCTTCCGTCGTACGTAATGTCAGCACGCTCGTGCGCTCGGTAACGGGCAACCTTCGATACTGAAAAAAAGGGAGGTAAAAGGAAGGTTGAGAATTCTTCTTCATAAAGGAGATCAGTGTACCGTTAAGTCAACTAGGGCCCAAATAAAAAAGATGTTCTTTCGCTAAATTGAGGCTGTTCTCCTTTTAAAAAGTGGATGCTCTCTTTGCTTATGTCAACATAATTTACATAAGCGGAATAGATAACCTATGAATTATGTAGGTGTCGTTAGCAATAAACGTAGATGTGCTTAGAGTTGCCTACGATGAGAGTGAATTAAAAGAGGCATGCATCCTTAAGGAAGAACCTGTCGCTCAAGATTAGCGGAAAAGACCAGAAGTAGAGTGACCGACCAGCTTTTGGACTTGAAGAAAAAGCCCCTGGTCGCGCTCTCTGTCGACTTCGTTGTCACCCAGACCACCAACACCCTCGTTCGAACCAAACACTTTTGTTCAGTAGACCAAGCAACTGTCATTCCTCAATTTACCGTCTCCAAGTCTCATCCTCTTCGAACACCTCTTCTGCCCCCGCGATGCGTCCATCGATCTTTCTCTCCGCGGCAACCATCTGCCTCTTAGTTTTTGTCAAAGACGCGGTGGCAACCCCGAACTCCGAGAATCTTGTAGCGGCCGACGATGAGAACAACGAGAGACAAAGCGAGCTACAACCTCAGTCGAAAGCAGAAGACTCTCTACCCACGATCCCGCCCTCCAACCTCACCGGTATCTTCATTAAGATCGTTCCGGGCAACAACGGATCACTCCCATCCCACAAGGACGGCAACTTCTTCGACGAAAGTAGTTCGGTAAGCTCGACCAGCTCTATCAGCTCGGCGAGCCAAGTGAACTCGACGGGATTTTTCGACGACGTGAACAAGCATCATCACGAACGTAAATACAATCGATGGTTGAGAGAAGGCTTGACTGCGGAGAAGGCAAAGAAGAAGTATGTAGAGCTTGGACCCATGGTCGCTTTCACCCATCCCATCAAGGGTATGGAGCTACACGCCTACCCACCGTGGCTTCATGAGAAGTGCCAATTTGTTGACAACGTGGATAAGCCGGCCTGTGTTGACGAGAAGAAAACGCTTGAGGCGTAAGGGATCAGTTCCTTGACCGTTGACACTCGCGTCGTCCCGCTTTCTAGCTTTACATTTTTCGTTTGCTGAATACATTCACACTGCTTTGACTTTTGCCTTTGCTGATATCGTTCATCATGTCATGTCCATACTTTCGTCTCTCGATGTGACCACAGTTGGTAGCATACTTCTGCAGCCAACCCATCAGAGATTTTCTATTTGTGGATCAAAGAGGCGTCGAGACGGTTGAAGGGTGTCACTCTATGGATTTCGTAAGCTAGAAGTAAAACTACGTCCTGAACGATCCTGTTCGATAGGGGAAGCGCTATCCACCCTCCAAGTAAATCTCAGCCATTCGCCACCCTTCTTTGAATTCGGCCGGAAGTACCTCGAGAAGGTTTTGATTGGTCTTTATTTGATCGCAACTGTAAGGTGGGGGAGCAAGCTTGGAGCTTGTCCTTTGATAGAAGAAATCCAGTTCAAAGAACTGAATCAGGTGGCGAAACACCATACAACAGCGGCCACTGAAGAATGAGCGTCCAGCATTTGCTGATGTGCGTGACTAAATTCACTTTGTGATCAATTATAAGCCAATCATATGCGTGCGCCACAATGGTGACCTTGCCAAAGAGTGACTACGTACATGTCCATACCGATGAGGGGGTACAGACTAGATCGCACTCAGTATGCGCATGGTACACCTGGCTATTTACAAACACACAGACGGACAGATGCATACGATTTATAAAGCTCAGTAATCGCATTGTGGCACAGCCGCTAATAGATTCACCCTTCGGGCTGGCAATAAATAGTCTCTACATCTTCAATAATTACACGCAGTTGTCAAAGCTTACGTCTGCTTCACACCAATGACATGTCATTGTGACTTTGTAAGCGCCTTGAAAGCAGCTCAAGCAAGCCTCAGGGCACGAAAGCATGTACACGTGTTGGAAAGTAGGAATCGACATTTTGTTTAAGGTCACGACGGAAAGTTTCTAAACAGATAATCACCACTTCCACGAAATGGATCGATGGTGTTTGCAATATTGAGAACAGCTTGAAGAAATTGTCAATGACTACATGTCTTGGAGTCTCTTGATTCAAAGAAATTGCAGCTAATAAAGAAGCTTCGTCAGCGCATACTATTAAGAGTGTGACCGCTGTGCCCCGAGTTCAGGTGCCAGTGACGATGTGTAATATGCTATTCTAGACCCGCAAAACTGACTCACTCGTTGCTCGCCTTCCGCGCTTGATGTCGCAGAAGTAGCTGCTGATCTTGCTACGCGATGAACTAACGGACGCGGTCCTACCAGATACTGTAACTGTGCACCCGCACAGTTATGCATGCTGTGTGGTAGCAGCAGAGGACATATAAGGTACAGATGTGTGAAATTGATGAGGTCCACACATTGCAACAAGGCATATCCCTGTGGCGTTGGGTGCCTTCAAGTCGCAACAACGAAGGTAGTGTATGTGCGCAAAGCTGATGTGAGCTAAATAGTAATGAATCTGTAGAAAGGGCTGCATTTTGTCCGGACAATCAGAAGCACAGATATAGGTAGCCAGCATTTGCCTGGTACGGATCGGGAAACTTCCACACAAACTAGTATTGCAAGAAACCGAATTACAACAATTTTTTATGCGAAAAACAGCCTCCAATTAACACCTTGACGAAGCAGAGAGCGAAGCTGGTATCTAGTAGTGCTGCATCATTTTTTTACTTGTAGAACCGATAATTTGACAAGAGATGCGCACACTTGTCCGATAGGACTACAGTTTGTTGGATCAGTGCGATAATGGTTTGTTGCAATTGAGATTGTCATACAATTGAATCACGGTCTAGCTTAAAACCATGTCGTCTTAGCGTTTGCTTGTGCACAAAACTCTCGTTGCGAATTAAAAATGGTTTATCCGCCGCATACAAGCTTGTGTAAATTTCGGCTGACTAGGCATTGGTTGGCGCAACGTATAACATGATTACGCTACAACACCGTGCATACGCCATAAGTCTCGTATGCATCCACAAAAAGCACATGCAAAATAAAATAAGTTCCGTGTTTTATTAAGCACGTCACTGATCAGGTAGTTTGAAAAGACATGAAGGTTTGACCGGAATGAAATTACAAATGAAGGAGCCCAAAGAAATGCAGCAGTCATGAAATTCGCGTTTGGAAGTTGAGTCATGAGCCGGCGGATTTCGAGCTGTAATAATCGGTCATTGAAGAGCAGTTTGATGTTGTCATTGGATAGCTTACTCCTGAAAGCTAGAAGAGACTTAGTAGAGTCCTCTTCCACTCCAAGTAGCTTGGTATGTATGGACAGCGCAGTTGCTACATCTGCCACTCAATGAGATCCACACAAAGTAAGAGTTTAACATGGACTGCTAAAACGTGATGATGTCAATGACTATGAGCGGCATGCAATGTTCGTGTGTATCATTGGCACACGAGTGTGACGCATACCATAGAGCAAAGTCACTTTTTAGGTGTCGACCAGCCCATATTGTGCACAGAACAAGCTGTGTAAGTACTGTAACGGGGCACCCTGAAGCTTGTACTGGTGACAGTACAAGCTACTTATTCTGTTAACAGAATAAGGCGGTGCCTCGTAACTTCACGTACACTCGTACGTGCAGAGGAAGACGGTAAGAAGAAGCGAGTACTTGGTTAGAGTAAAAAGTAGAACTGTATTTATAATAGTTAATGTCTGCAATAAATCACTATTTATCTTCATCTAACTATGTCTAAATACAAATGTGTAAATCAATTATCTGCTCACCACTCATTGCGTGCGTCTGTCGTGGCGCGTCTTCGTTGGTTGATATAATGGCCTATATCAACCAATTAGGAACTACTTGTAAGTGCTACAGAATATTTGTCCTTATGACAATATTCTGAGAATATAACTCTTATAGTTATATTCTATTAACAATTTCTTATAAATTGTTATGTAACGATTCACCCCGTTACATCACCCCCCCCTTAACCATCAGTCACTTTAGTGACTGATTGACTAAATGGATACTCGTCCCAAATCATTTGGGACAGGGTTTGCACTTGTTGGTCCGCGTCCACTTTCCAACATTTCATCGCATGGTAAACAAGCCCATGCGATGCGCGAGCAAGGCCGCCGAGAGCGCGTCTGCACGTCTCTGTGCGGACGCCGAAGCAGAAACAACAGCAACTGATGTCCCATCGGTTGCTGAAGAGACCCAGCCTGTGTCACTTGTTGACGCAGGCGCTGGTCATGAAGACACTCGTGTCTTCACAGAGTACGAGCTCGGTGTCTCGTACTCTCCTGATACGGATGACGGATCCGTATCGACGGCGATTGAATCCAAGCCGCCTGCCAAGCGTGGCATGGACGATGCTTTGCGTCGCAGCATCTTTGGTTCATCTGATGAGTCAGATGAACCATCGCCGAAGCGAAGGCGCTCGAGGTCGCGAGACTCGGGCGCTAATAGTGGTGTCGGTTCTCCAATGGACACCACTTCACAGCGAGGTGCCAGTACTTCTGTCGGCACGTCGCAGGAAGAGCGGGACCGCAATGTGTTGCGTCTCGCTCCAGAAAAGAAGGCATGGATGCCTCCAAAATCCGTCATGGATCACTTGTCGGCGACGACGAGTGATCGTTATCGAGACACGATTGTTCGATTCGTCAAGGATCCATCACCTTGACCCCAGCGCGAAAGACTATCGCGCTGAACATGAAGTTCTTCATCGATGCTTTCTTCAGACATCGATGGTACAGTGGGAATCACAAACGTGATGGTCCCTCACTACTTCAGGCGTGGAACGCCTACATCCATAACCTCGAGGATGTAGGTCGTGACGCTTGGAACGACAAACTTATCAAAGCTCGTGATAAGTTTGAAAAGCGAACCCCCCACAGGTGCACGCTACAAGCTGCATCGTCTGTCAAGGGAGAAAGGATTACCCTGCCTCTCTTGGGGAGACTCGTGCCCATGTTGTGTGAACAACTCTGCACGAGCACCTAAGGAGGCTTACCTCCTTACCAGCCCGTGGTGGCGCGTACGTGTCTCTACTGAGATGTACGAAGGGATTGACAACCTGAAATCCCTTTACGACCGTGCCGGGAAGACTTTCTCCGGCGGTCCTTCTGCGGCACAGGATGTGCCGCGTCGTACTGCTCGACCAGACCCAGTACGTCAACCATCAGTTGGGAGCGGGGCTCCCAAGAATCCCAGGACGGGGGATAGCCGCGCCACCGGACGAGGTAACTCGTCCGACGTCCGTTCACGTCGCGGTGGTTCAACAGCTGCTCAACTAGATAGCGCTGGCCACCGCGAGAGTCCTCTAATGGAGGTGGAGGAGGAGGAAAGACGCTCTCCACACGATCATGTGGATCGGTGTGTTCCCGAGAGCTTCTTTGATCGCGTAACGCAAGGGTTACGCGACGATCTCGAGCATGAGCGGAATAGGCGTCTCCAGATGGTGGACACTGCCTCGAAGCATCGAGCTGAGTTTGCCTTTGCTCAGCTTGAGAACGAGAGAGCTCTGACATCTCTTCGTGACGAGCTAAGGGTAGCTCGTGGGATTGTTGATCGGTCTCGGGATCAGATAGCTGCTCTTCAGACCCTTGTTGATGCCCACCATCAGGGAGCACAAGGCTCTCTGCGAGATGCTTGAGCGCAAGGGCGTTCTTCATCGGAAGAAGCAGCGTACTGATGGTACGGCTTAAGCCGACCAACGTAAAACGTGGGATGCGTTCGCATCTTACGTGGTAACTCGATCGTGTATGCATTGCCTAGGCGGTGCAATACACGAAATGGGCCAATGTACTTGGGTAGTAGTTTACTGCTACCCAAGTTAGTCACTACATGCTTTGGTAGATTAACCGTAGACAGTAGGACTAAGTCACCTTTATTAAATAAAAGAGTGTTTGCCCTTCCATTCTTGTCAGCGTTTTGCTTTTGCTTATCCACCGCTTCGGCGATGGAGTCTTGCACAAAACGGACTACCGTTTCACGAGCCAGTATGAACTCATCTGATGACTCGTTAGCTTCAGTGTGCTGTGAGCGCACTGCAGCAACAACAACCTTTTCTTCAGTGAGGGCTTCCGCACTCTCACTGGGATCATTGTCTTCGATATCGATGTTATCGATATCGGCATCAAACGCAATGACTTCTTCGTCAGAGCGTGATGAGCGTGAACCAAATCGGTTTTTGCTCGCGCGAGTCCCTCCCCCCCTTAAACCAGAGTTACACTCTAGTAAGGTGGGTACACGCGGATGGCGTAAGCCATTCACGAAAAACGGTGTATGTGTCGTGGACGCATGCACCGAGTTGTTGATGGCAAACTCTACCATTGGCAAAAACTCACTCCAACTCTTAAAGGAGTGTACGTATCCTCGAAGTATCTCTTCAAGGACACGATTGGCACGTTCCGTCTGACCATCTGACTCTGGATGATCAGATGTTGACATCTTCAAGCGCGTTCCGAGTGATTTGAACACGGACCGCCAGAAATCAGCAGTGAATCGTGGATCTCTGTCTGATACGAGTTCACGGGGCAACCCATGAAGTCGGAAGATGGTGTCAATAAAGACACAAGCACAGCCACTTGCCGTGATTGTCTCTGGTACAGCCACAAGGTGTACCATTTTGCTGAATCTGTCAACAAATACGAGAATACCCGTATTCCCGCGTGCGTCTTTGGGTAACCCGAAGACGAAATCCATTGAGATGGATTCCCAGCACTCAGCCGGAACCGGTAGAGGCTGTAAAGGTGCACGCAGTGAAGGACTTGACTTCACTCGTTGGCAGACTTCGCATGCGCGAACATACTTTCGCACAAACTGATACTGGCGGGGCCAGTAAAAGTCTCGACTTACCGTGAGATATGTTTTCTCTCGGCCACGATGTCCTCCTATAGGAGCATCGTGATACTCGAACATGATCCGCAAACGCAGATCAGTATCATCTGGAATGACAACACGTGGTGTGTCACCAGAAACGGCTGTATAATACAGTAAACCGTTACGAGTAGTGTATCGATCTGATGCAGATCGATACGCAGGCGACAATCGTTTCAACGATTCTCGGGATGGTTGGGAGAGATGTGATAACAACTTCACTATCTCACCATCTTGGGCGTAAGCCCGCCTCACATCATCATACAACATTGTAGATGGAACTGAGGACGTCATAACCGCAACAGTGACTGTCTCACTGTTGGGTTTCGCGACTGTTTCAAAGTCGGGACGACGTGAGAGTGCATCAGCGACGACATTAAGTCGCCCTGGTTTGTACTCGACCGTAAAGTTGTATTCTGCAAAGAATGACAACCACCGCGCCATTCGTTGTGAAAGGTGCGGGCTGTTCACTGCCGTGCGTAAGGACGCATGGTCAGTGTAAACAACGAAGGGTCTATCTCCTAATAGATAGACTCTGAACTTCGCGAGTGCATACTTCATGGCAAGGAGTTCCTTGTCATGCACTGGATAGTTCCGCTCAGCTGGTTGCAGCTGACGCGACTGATAGCAGACGACGCGTTCAACGCCTTCAAGATCGTACTGCATTAATGCACAGCCGATTGCGAAATCGCTGGCATCACAGACCACATGAAATGGCCTGTCCTGATCGGCTATTGCTAGGACTGGGGATTGTATCAAGCTCTGCTTGATACCCTCAAAGGAGCGTTGACATTCAGCGTTCCATAACCACCTCTCGTTCTTTTTCAACAAACGAGAGAGGTGCACAGTCATCTCGGCGTAATTGCGTGAATATTTATGCAAATACGCCGCTAGCCCAAGGAATTTTCGAAGACCTTTGACATCGACCGGCACAGGCCAGTCGGTGATCGCCTTGATCTTTTCGGGATCAGGACGTACACCGTTCTTACCAACGATGCACCCAAGAAGTGGTATTTCGCTTGCTGCAAATATACACTTCTTGAGGTTTGCATACAATTGATGCTTTCGCATGATTGTAAGAACTTGTCGGACGTGGTACCTGTGAACCTCAACGTCCGACTTTCCATCCATAGCTCGACTATGGATGAATACGTCATCGAAATAACTCGGCGCGAATTCTCGTACTGGCCTCAACAGATGTGATACACATCTGTTGAACGTGGCAGGGGCATTACTGAGCCCTTGTGGCATTACTAGCCATTCCCAGAGCATGCCGCTAGGCGTGCTAACTGCGGTATAGGGTATATCCCGTTCCCGCATTAGGATTTGATAGAAGCCATCCATCAAATCCATGGACGAAAAGATGGTACTCTTTGACATACCATCAATGATTACGTCCTTCCTCGGTATCGGCGTCTGAGCCGGTACCGTTGCAGCGTTCAATTTGTTAAACGCGTGCACTATCCGCCACCCTCCTGTTGCTTTTCGCACACAGAAGGTCGGAGAGCTATGTGGGGAAGTTGATTCCCTCACATGGCCCGCTGCTAAACGATCGGCAAAGAACTTGTCGATCGCAAGTACTTGTTCACGAGGCAGTGGCCACTGCTTCATGACACAGTACTTCGAGCCTGGTTTAAGCTCGACCTCGTGACGAATACCTTTATCCTTTGGTAATTCGCACGGAACAGTTTTAGGGAATACATCCTTGAATTCAACCAAATCTTCATAGAGAGGATTTTCCTTGAGCGATTCCCATGATTGGGACTCATATCGCTCAATTCGTGTCTTTTCATCTAGGACACTCTCGTCCATAGATGAACTACTGAGAACTCTCTCGTTCTCAGTGAACACTGTTGCTGACCTTATGTCGGTTACACACTCGTCGTCAGCGACGAGTATGCAGATCTGCTTGACTTTGCCACTACGCAGATCACGCAAGAACCTTTTATGTTCGAGCGTTGGCAACTGAGTGATCTCCGAAGTTAACTTCGGAGGCGCAATCAGATCAAGTGTATAAGCGCCTACACTTGATCCGTTATTGACTATGACATTCAATGTCTCTGTCATTTCCTGGGGACTTATTCCCTCAGGCTTCGAAGGACTTATTCCTTCGTCTTCCCGGGGACTTATTCCCGCGGGTTTCGGGGAACTTATTTCCGCCGTATTTGTAATCTTGGGACTTATTCCCTTTACTTCCTCTAGCTGGGGTTGCGCAACCACAGCGAGATCCTCTACGAAAGACTCTCCAGTCGATCTAGGATTATCGTTTCGCTTAACCTGAGCGATCGATTGTTTCTCTTCTAGATGTTCCCCTCTAGGGATACATCTTTGTCCCAGTCCACCCGACTTATTCGAGTGGTGGACCTTCGGCGCAGCCTGTGTTTCCTCACAGCCGCCGGAACTTTGCTCCGAAGTGTAACCGTTTGGTACACTAAGGTTTTGTGCAGTCGTACTAACGACCGTACCACAAGTGAGGCCATCGCACTCACTCGTAGTACATCCACACGCTTGTGGACGCTCCAAAACGTTCATCAGATGGCCATCTGATGAACAAGCGGCAGAGCATCGTTACTGTCCGATGTTGCCAGTTTACCCGTGGTTCGTACCTTCTGAGCCACGGTATTCCAAGGATGACATCAAATTTGTCATCCAAATCCAATACGATAAAGTCATCGTCATATTGGGTATCTTCTAGCGTATAGTGGATCTTCACTATACGCTTCATGACGGTTACGGATGCGCCTGTCGCAAGACGTACCGTCATCCTCGTAGGAGGTGTGTCACATTCACTGAATTTAAAGTGACCATCTTCTAGCGATTGGCGTCGCACAAAATTGTTAGACGCCCCACAATCGACTAGAGCTCGAAGGGACAACTTATTCGTCACTTCGAGTTTCAAGGTAATGAGTTAGATCTCATTACCTAGAGCAGCAACGCACAACGTCTGTGTGTTGGGAGCAACCTTCATCAAGAGGCCTACAAATTCTCTTGACGTTGCTGGATCAGTAGGGTGCTCCGCACCTACTGATCCTGTCCGTTTTCTGACGGTCCATCCCGTTGTTGCGTCTTTGCACCAACTGCGGACCCTCGTCCCTGCCCCTTTCTCATGGGTGGACGGTCACTACGCCCAGTGTCGCGAGACACTGGACGAGGGGCACTACACTCGTAAGCGTAGTGTCCTGTCTTTTGACATCTGTTGCATCTCTGCAACTTCTTGTATCCTGTAGAGCGAACCTTCTCGCTCTCTACATAACAGAGTTCCATCGGCTCTGGACCTCCGTTGTCATATCGTCTCGGTTGACGATATGATGTCGAGCTGGCGCGAGCCTGTCTCAGACTGAAGTCTTCCTGCTCCGCAATGGAAATGGCTTGTTCTAGTGAATCCAGTTCAAGCCGGAACAGGTGAGTCTTGACGGGACCATCCGCAAGACCCTGCATGAACACCGAAACCAACGTGTGTTCATCCACTGGATTGGAACTTATACAACTCGTAAGATGTCGTATATGTTGAGCGTAAGCGTGCACATCACGCTTACCCTGCTTGAGCTTCAAGAGTTCGGTTCAAGCTCTGAACTCAGCTCTAGGCGGTTCAAACGTTTGTCTGAGCCGCGACTTGAAGACTTCCAACGACCCAAACGCGTATGGGTCGTGCAACTTGAGCCCCAGTGCCCAAGTCTTGGCACGTCCTGCCAGATTTGACTGGGCAAATACAACTTGCATATCCCCGTCGTCGATGCGACGCGCCCTTATGGCGTCATCCAATTCGACGAACCACCTCAAGAGGGAGTCTTCTTCGACCCCCCTATACTTGGAGATGTCAATCTTCAAGGTTTCGGGTCGACGTGAGTGCATCGACCCGCCAGCAGCAGCCTGCTGCTGTCTCAACAGCTCAAACTGTTGAGCACTCTGTTCTCCCAGCAACTCTGCTTGTTGAGAACCTTGTTGGTGAAGCAAGGCTACTTTCTCGCGTTCTGCGTCAAGTTCGTTTTGAATGAACTTGGCGATAGTAGCATGTTGGGCATCTCTATTGAGAGCCTCTAGCATGACGCTAACAGCATGGATGCCCATGGTTGAACCCATTCGTTCAACCGCATCCCATTCGACATCGCTCATATGGGAGTAGCCGTCACGCGTAGCGTGAAAGCTTTGGTCATCTTCATCATCCAACATATTCATGTTGGATGTGAACGCGGTCCTTGGACGGACTACGAAGTGCTACCAGGTGTAACGGGGCACCCTGAAGCTTGTACTGGTGACAGTACAAGCTACTTATTCTGTTAACAGAATAAGGCGGTGCCTCGTAACTTCACGTACACTCGTACGTGCAGAGGAAGACGGTAAGAAGAAGCGAGTACTTGGTTAGAGTAAGCAGCAGGCTGCTGCTGGCGGGTCGATGCACTCACGTCGACCCGAAACCTTGAAGATTGACATCTCCAAGTATAGGGGGGTCGAAGAAGACTCCCTCTTGAGATGGTTCGTCGAATTGGATGACGCCATAAGGGCGCGTCGCATCGACGACGGGGATATGCAAGTTGCATTTGCCCAGTCAAATCTGGCAGGACGTGCCAAGACTTGGGCACTGGGGCTCAAGTTGCACGACCCATATACTGTATTTATAATAGTTAATGTCTGCAATAAATCACTATTTATCTTCATCTAACTATGTCTAAATACAAATGTGTAAATCAATTATCTGCTCACCACTCATTGCGTGCGTCTGTCGTGGCGCGTCTTCGTTGGTTGATATAATGGCCTATATCAACCAATTAGGAACTACTTGTAAGTGCTACAGAATATTTGTCCTTATGACAATATTCTGAGAATATAACTCTTATAGTTATATTCTATTAACAATTTCTTATAAATTGTTATGTAACGATTCACCCCGTTACAAGTATTCCATGAGCTCGTCTGTCTTGTCCATTGTAGGAAGCAATTACCCATAGTACCGCAAACTGATATCCTTGTGGCAATTTAAGGATTTCTAAGAAAGCCTGCGACCTCGCAAACACAACCTGGGTCGCAAAACTTGCAGAATAGATCCTTGAAAATCCTCGTCCTTTTAAATTTTGGCAAAGTAACTGATGCGAGCGCGAAGTATAAATCTGGTAGAGACTGTGCTCCAGGTGAATACCGACCTTTCAAACCTAAATTCTGTGCGTCTGTCTGCCTGTTTTCGAGTGTGTGTAAATTACACTAAGTGCATCTTATGTGTCGCACAAAGTGCGAAGTATTATTTCAATTCCTCACAGGTAATTTGGGGTCACTATTTGATCATCTCACTAATTAGAAAAGCGTATGGAGTGATTGTCATGCCCTTGCACCAAGGCTTACACGTAATTCGATCAAAAAAATGACCTGGATGGATTAGAGGGCTAACAAGGTAATACTCGACTGTAACGGGGTGAATCGTTACATAACAATTTATAAGAAATTGTTAATAGAATATAACTATAAGAGTTGTATTCTCAGAATATTGTCATAAGGACAAATATTCTGTAGCACTTACGAGTAGTTCCTAATTGGTTGATATAGGCCATTATATCAACCAACGAAGACGCGCCACGACAGACGCACGCAATGAGTGGTGAGCAGATAACAGATTTACACATTTGTATTTAGACATAGTTAGATGAAGATAAATAGTGATTTATTGCAGACATTAACTATACTAAATACAGTTCTACTTTTCACTTTAACCAAGTACTCGCTTCTTCTTACCGTCTCTCTCTGCACGTACGAGTGTACGTGAAGTTACGAGGCACCGCCTTATTCTGTCATCAGAATAAGTAGCTTGTACTGTCACCAGTACAAGCTTCAGGGTGCCCCGTTACACCTGGTAGCACTTCGTAGTCCGTCCAAGGACCGCGTTCACATCCAACATGAATATGTTGGATGATGAAGATGACCAAAGCTTTCACGCTACGCGTGACGGCTACTCCCATATGAGCGATGTCGAATGGGATGCGGTTGAACGAATGGGTTCAACCATGGGCATCCATGCTGTTAGCGTCATGCTAGAGGCTCTCAATAGAGATGCCCAACATGCTACTATCGCCAAGTTCATTCAAAACGAACTTGACGCAGAACGCGAGAAAGTAGCCTTGCTTCACCAACAAGGTTCTCAACAAGCAGAGTTGCTGGGAGAACAGAGTGCTCAACAGTTTGAACTGTTGAGACAGCAGCAGGCTGCTGCTGGCGGGTCGATGCACTCACGTCGACCCGAAACCTTGAAGATTGACATCTCCAAGTATAGGGGGGTCGAAGAAGACTCCCTCTTGAGGTGGTTCGTCGAATTGGATGACGCCATAAGGGCGCGTCGCATCGACGACGGGGATATGCAAGTTGTATTTGCCCAGTCAAATCTGGCAGGACGTGCCAAGACTTGGGCACTGGGGCTCAAGTTGCACGACCCATACGCGTTTGGGTCGTTGGAAGTCTTCAAGTCGCGGCTCAGACAAACGTTTGAACCGCCTAGAGCTGAGTTCAGAGCTTGAACCGAACTCTTGAAGCTCAAGCAGGGTAAGCGTGATGTGCACGCTTACGCTCAACATATACGACATCTCACGAGTTGTATAAGTTCCAATCCGGTGGATGAACACACGTTGGTTTCGGTGTTCATGCAGGGTCTTGCGGATGGTCCCGTCAAGACTCACCTGTTCCGGCTTGAACTAGATTCACCAGAACAAGCCACTTCCATTGCGGAACATGAAGACTTCAGTCTGAGACAGGCTCTCGCCAGCTCGACATCACATCGTCAACCAAGACGATATGACAATGGAGGTCCAGAGCCGATGGAACTCTGCTATGTAGAGAGCGAGAAGGTTCGCTCTACAGGCTACAAGAAGTTGCAGAGATGCAACAGATGTCAAAAGACAGGACAATACGCTTACGAGTGTAGCGCCCCTCGTCCAGTGTCTCGCGACACTGGGCGTAGTGACCGTCCACCCATGAGAAAGGGGCAGGGACGCGGGTCCGCAGTTGGTGCAAAGACGCAACAACGGGATGGACCGTCAGAAAACGGACAGGATCAGTAGGTGCGGAGCACCCTACTGGTCCAGCAACGTCAAGAGAATTTGTAGGCCTCTTGATGAAGGTTGCTCCCAACACACAAACGTTGTGCGTTGCTGCTCTAGGTAATGAGGTCTCACTCATTACCTTGAAACTCGAAGTGACGAATAAGTTGTCCCTTCGAGCTCTAGTCGATTGTGGGGCGTCCAACAATTTTGTGCGACGCCAATCGCCAGAAGATGGTCACTTTAAATTCAGTGAACGTGACACACCTCCTACGAGGATGACGGTACGTCTTGCGACAGGCGCATCCGTAACCGTCATGAAGCGTATAGTGAAGATCCACTATACGCTAGAAGATAACCAATATGACGATGACTTTATCGTATTGGATTTGGATGACAAATTTGATGTCATCCTTGGAATACCGTGGCTCAGAAGGTACGAACCACGGGTAAACTGGCAACATCGGACAGTAACGATGCCTGCCGCTTGTTCATCAGATGGCCATCTGATGAACGTCTTGGAGCGTCCACAAGCGTGTGAATGTACTACGAAAGAGTGCAATGGCCTCACTCGTGGTACGGTCGTTAGGATGACTGCACAAGATCACAGTGTAGAAGGTCACTACACTGTGTAACCAGCTTCCGGCACCTGTATAGCGACACAGGCTGCGCCGAAGATTCACCGCTCGAAGAGATTGAGTGGACTTGAACACGGATGCACACCAAGAAGGGTGCATCCGATAAGAGAGACTAGTGTTGTTCAGGATGAACAACACGTTGAAGCAAGACCGACTCACAGAGAGTCGATCGTAGAGCAAGCCCGATCGACTGCAAGAGAGTCGATCGAAGAGGACGTGACACGTGGTAGTACGCCCACAGTCAGCACACGTATTGATAGAAAGTTCCAGCGTTCCTGAGAGTGATAACTCCCGAGAGAGTTATGTTGAGGGTGTGGATCCCCAACCACCTGCGGATGCGTTTTCCCAGGAAATCACCGAGACAGTAAATATCTTGATGAATTACGGATCAAGTGTAGGCGCTTGCACACTTGATCTGATTACCCCTCGAAGTCAGCTCTAGAGGTAATAAAGTTTTTAAAGATAGAATCTAAAAGATTATTGCGAGATCTGCGTAGTGACAAGATCAAGCAGATCTGCGTATTCGTCACAGAGGACGAGTACGCCGCCGATATCCGGTCGGCACAGGTGTTTACTGAGAACGAACGTATTCTCAGCATCTCATCGATGGACGAGAGTGACCTCGATGAGAAGACTCGGATCGAGAGATATACGTCTCAATCTTGGGAATTTTTGAAGACAAATCCTTTGCATGAGGATTTGGTCAAATTCATGGATGTTTTTCCGGAACCCGTGCCATGCGAGCTGCCCAAGGATAAAAGCACTCGGCATGAGATCGAACAGAAGCCCGGTTCGAAGTACAGTGTCATGAAGCATGGGCACTGCCTCGTGAACAGAGCACAGCAATCGACAAATTCTTCGCCGATCGTTTAGCGGCTGGTCGTGTGAGGGAATCAATATCCCCACACAGCTCTTTGACCTTATGTGTGCGAAAGGCTACAGGAGGGTGGCGGATAGTGCACGCGTTCAACAAATTGAACGCTTTGACGGTACCGACTCAAACGCCGATACCAAGGAAGAACGTCATCACAGATGGTATGGCTAAGATTACCATCTTTTCGTCCATGGATTTGATGGATTAATTCTATCAGATTCTCATGCGTGAACGGGACATCCCGTACACAGAAGTGAGCACCCCCAGTGGTATGCTCTGGGAGTGGCTAGTAATGCCACAGGGGCTAAGTAACGCCCCTGCAACGTTTAACAGATGTGTTACGAATCTGTTGCGATCGGTGCGCGATTTCGCACCGAGTTACTTTTGCGATGTCTTCTTCCATAGCCGGGCTATGGATGGAAAGACGGACGTGGAGGTTTATAGAGATTTATGCCGCGCGGTACTTCAGTTCACCCCGGGGTGAACTGCGAGTACTCTGGCTCAGTTTGAACTCCTTACAGGACCCGCACCCCTCATTACACTATGGGGCTTTTCGGCTTGTAGGGCCTCCGGACGGCACCGGCCACCCATTGGTGGTTGCTCGTCTACATTATTAGCCTATCTCCGGCGCCCTGTAATCGAACCCCCACCGGGTATCGATCCAGGTACCTCCCGGTCCCAGTTCCAGTGGTCTACCACTCGGCCACTGGGGTCGGTCGTGGAGGTTTATAGAATACACGTCCGGAAGGTGCTCACACTTATGCGAGAGCACAAGCTGCATGAGAACATAAAGAAGTGTATATTCGCAGCGAGCGAAGTACCACTTCTTGGCTACATCGTGGGTAAACACGGCGTACGCCCTGATCCGGAAAAGATTAAGTCGATTACCGACTGGCCAGTGCCAGTAGACGTCAAGGGACTTCGAAAGCTCCTTGGCTTGGCAGCGTACATGCACAAGTACTCGTGCAACAACGCCGAGGTGAACTTACATCTCTCTCGTCTGCTAAAGAAGAATGAGAGGTGGTCATGAAGTGCTGAGTATCAACACTTCTTTGAAGGTATCAGAAAAAGCTTGGTGCAATCGCCTGTGTTGTCGATTGCAGACCAAGACAGACCATTCCACGTGGTCTGTGACGCCAGCGATTTTGCGATAAGCTGCGCGTTAATGCAGTACGACTCAGACGGCGTTGAGCGCGTCGTCTGTTATCAATCGCGTCAGCTGCAAGCAGTTAAGCGTAACCTCACCTAGTGCGTATAAGGGAAACTCTTGCCATGAAATATTCACTGGATTTGTTTCGGGTATATGTCTTATAATCTAGGCCCTTTATCATATATACCGACCATGCGTGCGTCGTTATGCACGGCCGTAAACAGTCCACACCTCTCGCAACGATTGGCGAGGTGGCTGTCTTTCTTCGCGGAGTACAAATTCTCCGTCGAGTATAAACAGGACGAATTAATGTCGTCGCTGATGCTCTTTCGCGTCGGCCCGATTTTGAGCCGACTGCTCAACACAACAGTAGGGGTGATCCCACTGTAGCGACACTAACAGTGAGTGATCCGTCGTCGAATCTGTTCGACGACGTGCAAAAAGCATACACAGAAGATGAGTCTCTTCTACGATTGATGGATTAGGTGTCTAATCCTTGCGATCAAGCTTTAGAAAGCTTGTCGTCTCAATACCGCTCTTTAACCGAACGGTATTCTGTTCGTGATGGAATGCTGTACTATACAGCAGTCAACGGCGACACACTTTGTGTCGTCGTCCCGGCTCATAATTATTTGCGATTCCGCATCATGTATGAGTGTTACGATGCCCCAACAAGTGAGAATCGCGGTAGAGAAAAGACTTACGTCATGGTGAGTCGTGAATGGCCCCGCCAGAATGAGTTTGTGCGCAAATGCATTCGCGCTTGCGAAGTTTGTCAACGAGTTAAGCCTAGTCCTTCATCCCGTGCACGCTTGCAGCCTCTACCAATTCCGGCAGAGTGTTGGCAGTCCGTATCGATGGACTTCGTCTTCGGGTTTCCGAAAGACGTTCACTAGAATACGGATATTCTTGAGCTTGTTGATCGCTTCAGCAAGAATGTACAACTTTTTGCTGTACCGGAGTCAATCACAGCCCAGGGCTGTGCGCGTGTCTTCATCGATACTATCTTCCGACTTCACGGGTTACCCCGTGAACTCGTGTCCGATAGGGACCCCCGCTTCACAGCATAGTTTTGGAAATCCGTGTTACGTTCACTTGGAACACGTTTGAAGATGTCGACTTCTGACCATCCAGAAACAGATGGTCAGACGGAACGCGTCAACCGCGTCCTCGAAGAGCTACTTTGAGGGTACGTCCCCTCGTTTGTGAGTTGGAGTGAGTTCTTGCCGATGGCGGAATTTGCCATCAACAACTCGGTGCGCGCGTCGACAACGCATACACCGTTCTTCGTGAATGGCCTACGCCATCCGCGTTAACCCGCCTTCTTAGAGTGTGACTCTAGTTTAATGGGGGGGGTGGACTCGCTCGAGCAAAAACGATCTGGTTCTTGCTCATCACCCGTCGACAATGGTTTCAACGTGATGGATGACGATGTAGATGCGATCGACATCGATGATGACGATGCTGCTGGTATATTTAGTATCGCTAATGACCGCCAAAGTGCGGACGATGACACCCTCACTGGTGAAGACAACGTTCTTTCAGCAGTGCACACGAAGCGCACTGCTGTTGACAAGGATGAATCAGCAGAGGATTTTCTGCTGACTCGCGAAGCGGTTGTCCGCTTCGTTTAAGACTCTATTACAGATGCACTATACAGACAGAAGAGAAACGCAGACAAACATGGAAGAGCAAATGTTCTTTCATTTGTTATAGGAGACCTAATTTTATTGTCTACAGTAAATCTACCGAAACCCGCGGTGACAAACGTGGGCACCAGTAAATTACTGCCCAGGTACATCGGTCCATTTCGTGTGTTGCGCCGAATGGGCAATGCATAACCGATTGAACTGCCCCGTAAGATGCGTGAGCATTCTACGTTTTACGTCGGTCGTCTCCTCCCGTACTATCAGCACGAGCCCGTTTCGAGATGCGAAGAACACCTCCACGGTCGAGAGCCGAGACCCCCTTCGAGTGGTCCCGTTTCAACGAGCCATTCTAAGTGACTAGCGAAGCGACCTGATCGTGCAGTTGAGCGATGTCCTGAAGAGCTACAGCAAGCTCATCACGAAGAGAACGAGTCGGACGTTCTTTCTCAAGTAACGCGAACGCAAAAGCGGCACGATCGTCCGAAAGATCGTGCGCTAAGGAATTGTAATTGTCTTTTACATGTCATGGAGCTCGTAACGCCGAGGCCGTTCATGAGCCAGGTCATCGTGTAACTGTTCCGTCACATGATTCAGCTCCTAAACATCAAGCTGATCCGATCCTCGATCCGGATCAGGTGTATCCGCCGCCGCCACATCCTTTGGTGGACTCAGGCGGTGGTTAACGCTTTCTAGTGGAGCGTATATTGAACGACGGCGACATGAATGGCGTTCGAACGAGTTACCTCGTCAGCTGGCGTGGCTATCCACCGGCGTGGGACAGCTGGGAGCCTCGTGCCCAGCTGATTGTTGATTTCCTTGTTCTCGTCGAGCAGTACGACGAGACCCACCCGCTGCATTCGAAGAAGGGCCGTTGGAAAACGACCTCCCCGAGCGCGAGTACAGGGATTGCAATGTGTCAATCCGTTCGACCATCTCGGAAAAGATGCGCGACGTCCAGTAGGGATCATTAGGGAGGTAATACTTTGTAGGGGCACGGTTCGAGTTGTCCAGGCAACCTGGGCATGAATCACCCCACGAGAGACAGGGTAATCCTGCCTCTCTTAAGAGCCGTTGCAACTTGTATCGCGCCCCGACTGGGTTGCGTTTCTCAAACCTGATGCGAGCTGTATCAAGTTTGGCGAGCCAGGCCTCACGGCCAATGCACTCGATGTTATGGATGAGGGCATTCCATCCTTGCACCAAGGTCTTTCCGTCTCGAACACGGCTACCATTGTACCACCGATAATTGAAAAACGCATCGGTAAAGAATTCTTCCTCAGCACGGATAGTTTATGTGCTGGAATCAGGTGGGAAAATTTCCTGCAATCGAACAACGGGATTCGATCCCGTTTGGTAGTCATGCCGGACAACCTGTCCAACTCTCTGGATGGCGGCATCCAAGGAGACTCCACTTATGGAGCGCGGCGCAGGACATTTCGGTCCCTGGCCTCTTGATTGGTGCCAGCATGAGCACTGACACCAGTGACATCTCTTTCCCTCGAGTTGCTTCTCGCGTGTTGATGTATAGGTGCATCACCACTATCTTCACGCGTGGTATCGTCGGATGGATTTGCGTAAGAAGAGGTTCCGTTAGAAGAATCGCTCGGTCCGAAGTTATCGAGCATGATGCTGCCACGTTGACCAGATCCAGTCAACTTGTCTCTTGCAGTGTCCGCTCCGGTTGATCCGGAGGCGTGAGATGTCGCCTTCGAGTCGGATGCATCATCTGACTCGCCAAAATAGATGAGCTAAATTTCAGGCTCATCTACATTGCGAGTCGCAGTACCCTCTGCAGACGCAACGGATGTACCTGTCGTACGTGGTGTCTCACCACGTGAACGATTCACAAACAACGGGCGACAAATCACCTGCTGCTGAGGTGTGAGAGGCACTTTCCGCGGCTGCACGCATGCGTGCAGCTGCCCTACTTGCTGCTGCAGTAGAAGCTCGCGTGGTTTATGAAACCATGCGTTGGATTGGCAAATGAATGGGATTTGACCAACAAGTGCTCCCTTTCCCAGAATGATCCAATGGTGGTCACCCTGTCCCAATCAATTCTAATTTAACTAACGGGTGACTGATGGTTGAGGGGGGGGTGATGTAACGGGGTAGGCCGTTTCATGAAATTGTCACCCAACGGTGTCAATATGAATATTGTCTAGCATGACAGTATTCTACCAATATTATCTGAGGCAGATAATATTGAACGAATGTTATCCTCCTTTGATATATTCATGCGCTGCTCCAAGATTGGTTGATGTAAGACATATCAACCATAGATTGCCACCAAGAGCTGCTGAACGCGCGCAATGAGTGGTGAGCAGGCTGTCGTCATGCGACGACGTAGTTTACTATAATTAGATGAAGATTAAAGCTACACTGATAGCTTAATTGTATTAGATATAGTTCTCTTTTTACCCTTTACTCAAACGAGTCGTTTAAGTAGATTAGCTTCCTCTGCACGTACTAGTGTACGTGAATTTTCGCGGCACCCCAAAAAAAGGGTGCCCCGTTACACCAAGGGTGGCTCCAAGCCAAGAATTAGATCGTGTGAGTTGTCAAATTTACAATTGCATACCGAAAAACCCACCCCCTTTTTGCTAAGGAGAAGGCGGCTGCAAGCAGCTTTTGTCTGAATCGGAATGTTGTCATTCATTAAGGAAACATACTGATCGAACACACATCGAGACAATCTATACGTCGTAGCTTTGTAAGCCTGGAACGTTCTAAACGAGTACACAGTATTTTTTAAAGCGTGAAACTGTAAATTATAAAATCCTCGTGTCATATTATAGTTTTACCAGGAATTAGAAAGTGAGAGTTCATTTGCCGTCGAAGACTGGTATAGATAGGCCTGTAATCTGGTCACCGTTGACGTTGGTGTAATTGATGAAGAGCAAAACCACTGATCATTACATGCAAATACGTGACGAATTTCGGTACTTTACACAAAGTCTCGTGATAGAGAACTCTTTATATAGATAAAAGCGTGATTTAGTCATCGCATCAAAGAAATTTTTGAGAACTGAGTCGTTACCGCTGACACATTCAACCAGGGGTTGGGCTGTCGTTTTATAAATTATAAATATCTTTATTAAAAAAAAATGAAAACTCATTTAAAAGTTACAGACTTAAGTCGATATAATGTTTTAAAAAATCTTGAGAAATTTTTTAAAGTAAAATATATAATTTATTAAACACCAGTACATTTAATGGTTGTAGATTAAAAAAACAAAAACGACGTTGATTTTTAAATGTGAACAGGTGATCGAGTGGTTTAAGGTGTCAGTCTTGAGTAAGGGCTGGAACAAAAAAGGTAGGAAAGGACAATTACGGGCATAATGACGCACTAATAGTCGGTACGGTAACCTCTTTCAAGACCTTTATTATCAAGATTATGAGCACCAGTTTATTTAGAACAAATGATGGTCAACGTGTGACAAGCCTATAAAACCAGGATAGCCGGCGACTGTCCCCTTCGTAGCAGACGTAGATGCGTGCCTACGCACAAGCTTGCCGACCCTTGTTAACAAGTTCTTTGCACTTCGTCTTGACATATACGAGGTAGCCTTCGTGAAAGGAACGACGATCATCTGCTTTTATATAAGCCTCAGCTTGCTTCTGAGTTCGATGTACCACGTAAAACAAATCGTCGTACAGCAGAGTGTGCATCCTCCAATATAATTTTGGATTGCCGGAACCGGCCGAGAAGTCGGAGCTTTCTTCGTCCTTGTCATCACTCCACGGGAACGAAATGAGCCGTCGGTGCTCAGCTGCATCACCCGCAGTACCAAGATTGCGGTCGGCAATCACAGGTGAGGCCACGTCAGACGTCTTCGGCTTCCCAGCGCCTAAAGCTGCATACACTGCATTTCCAGATGCCGAAAGGCAGACAACTGCCGCGGACACGAGAATCCAAGGACGCATCGCGGAGATTGATCGGTCGGGATGAGGTGAGCTCGAGGCGAAGAACTGTCGAATGCCGATAACATTCTCGAGGTAGAATTTTTGGGATGGCGTGCTCGAGGCCCGGGAAGTGGCAAATCCCCCAGAAGACGGCACTGAGACTTACTTCAAGCCGGATGAAGCTTATAGTTGTCACACCTCCACGAAAGCCCCAGCCCCGACAGCAAACTGCCTCCATCGTGGACACGACGACTCGTCAGACAAACGTTGTAATCGAGTGGGGAAGGACTGAATGTGGACTGCATATCGTGTGTTGAACGTATTCAGATTATCGCGATAGGTGCAACGGTAGACTTTTGCTTGCGAGCAGTCTCGCGGTCAGCTGCCAAGAGCTCAAATATGCACGTCTTGAGTTGATTATTGGATACATCAGGCTGGTAATGCAGACGGCACGCGCCCGATAGGTACCGTTTATGTCCACATTACAGCTGTGAAATATTGAAGTACACATGTCTCTCCAAAGCTCGGATTTGGCGGTGTGTCGTAAGTACCTCGTGTGTCAGCATGCACCGATTCCCTTTCGTAGCTTAGTGAGCTGTATCACGTTTAAAGACCGAGTGCAGAGCTCAACGCACGACCGAGCGGATTCTTTCTTTACAGATGGACCTAAGTGCTGTCGTTAGCTATTTAATGACCGCGATCACCGATCGGCTACTTGTCAAGGCACGAATATGATTCTTTTGGCGGTGTGGCACGGTACCAGCAAGCACTGGATTTACGTACAGCACGCGTAGACGATAGACGTGCGAAGCAGTTCGTTGTACCCGGATGGACAGCGTTTACTGTTTGTAAAAGGAGTTGAATGGGAGTAATCAGGCCGAGACGATGCCACACCGTATGGCATACCTGATCGATCAAATCGATTCTATGAGCATCATGAAGATGTGTGCGACAAATCCCAATTTACAGCTGAGCTTATCGAGTGTCGCACGCTGCAGCGGCAACTGCATCTGTTCACATTCTGAATGCCAATGCCTTTTGAGGGCCTGCTGTAAAAAGGGAGTGTAGCCCAAACGTGGACTTCTGACAAATTACTGCGTGCGAGTCATTTGTTGTTCGAATTAAATATTTGGTAAGTGGGATCGCAGCACTATTAAAAGGCAATATTCACTTTAGCTTTAACTTCTCGATACATAAACATCCAAATCGTGTAACATCGGAATTTGGCCGGTCAAATTATAGAGCTTTACAGCGCTGGTCGTGCAGATACCGATACGCCACTATAAGTGTAATTGGCCTGTCTCGTGCTTCGCGGGTAGAGTCGGTTGAGACAACCGCGAACGGACGTTGGCATCTCACACCACTGCGTCGTATGAGTATAGGTCTATAGAGATTATGAACAAATATGCGAACGGCCAAGACGCCTTGGCTGCAGCAGCGCTAATGTCGATAAATGCGAATTCTTTATGTTCTGTCTCCGCTCGTAAGCTTTCAGAAGCGCTGACGGGTTTAGTTTTCCGGACATGCTTAGCTGCCCGTACAGGAAGTGTCTGAGATAGCTCCGATATAACAAATAGTGAGACTTCGTGAAAGATCTTGTAGCGATTGAAAATGCTCGCTAAGGAAACTCTGGACGCAGATTAGAGGCAGGTCTATGAGCGTCTCCAAACAATCAGTACAGTTTAACTTTCTGTCTAAATAAAAATGTTATTGAGTTACACCCATTAAAGCGTGCCACAGCAGCGAAATAACTCGGGGACAACTCGAGAAAACGTAATTTTTGTTCGTTATTCCGTCTACGTTTTCTAGTTCTGCGACATCCAAGATAATTTTATGTCTACATATCATTGGCTCAGGATTTCGAGATAATTCAGGTCATTGGCGAAGATTAGTTGCACGCCATTGGCTGCAGTGAAAGAGAAAGGGATGATTTTGAAGCCGACGACGAGGTGAAAACTGACACTAGCAACATCGTATCGTTGGCCTGTACCGGGGACTAAAAAACAAACCATAACTTTACCAGTCACGTTCAGCCGAATATAGACTATATAATGTAGTTCTACCGACTACTGTGAAGTTTTTGGCGTCTTAGCTTGAGCAAAAGTCATACTGATCTCTAATTGGTGCGCAACAAGATAAGCTGCACCCACTGCTGTAGATGCTTTAAGCTCGCTATCAACACAACCTTGTTAAGTCTGTTGGAGTATTATTCGCTCAAAAAAATTAGATTTGGGACATGTAGGGTGGCTGTATTACCGATTCCGACAAGTCATGGACAGCTTATCCAAAAATGCGGTCTCCTTTATAAATTAGTGAGTGTTAATTTTTTACAGTTTTACGATTCCCTTCTCCTTAAAAGATCGTTTGTATCCGTTACTACGTTCAGGCCACAATTGATTATCTTCCGTCCTAGTAAATCCCTACCACCCATCCTTGGTTAGCTTTTCCTCTTCCGCTGTGGCAAACCCTATTCAGCTATACGGATATTGCTAAAAAGCGATACACGAATCAACTCGTAAAGAGCGCGCGATGATCCAGTGCAATAAGCCTCCTTACTCATAATCCACTCCCCGGATCTTCTTTCGCTGGACAATTGGGATCACTAGCATGCAATATCGGTGCATCTTTATGCAGGAGGTTGTCTTGACTCGCTGGCGGACTTGCACCACTAATTTTGGCTTCATGAAAACGTGGCTGCTAATATTACATACTAGCATTGGTCTGTTCGACCTGGATTGATTCGCGTTGTTCGATGGTTGGTGCTGTTGCATTTGGTGTGTTAGCCCTTTTTAAAAGTCGCTGGACCGATGACGTGACTGGACCATCGTTCGTTCTACATTGTTGTTCTTTAACGAGGGTATCTGCAGGCCAGGGTCCACGGCACAAACAAGTGAAGTATAAGAGATTTTGATCTAGAGCTTCGTGATCCCTCGATCGCGTTTCCATCGACCTTACAGGTAATCCAACCCTAAACAGCCTGGTGAGTTCAAACTTGACATCCACAATTCGACAGAGTTCCATGTTGCGCGTACACACACGTACTAGATAAAACAAAACGGCCGGCTGTGTTCCCCTTCCACTGCTCTGCTTTGTGTCAAAAATTAGCGCAGCGCACCAGTACGGAACTTGCTGGATGTTTAAGCCGTGATATGCATAGTTCTTAATTTCGGTGGGGAGATAATACATGAAGTAAGGTCGACATCAGTGGTGCGAACACAAACTTCCGATGGATTTGATTTTGTGCTAAGGCTTGTCATCGTACAGCGCGTGCTTCGTATAAAAGGAGAGACGACACTACAACTGCAATGTCCACTCTTAGTAACACTTCAACAACACAGTTCGATTTTCGTGGACTTGGCAGGTGATGAGAGATACAGGAAGTACGCGCCTGTTACTGCAAACACTACGCCTATTGTACAGAGTCTCATCCTACAATGCTTACATTGAGCAACGATGTACGAAGCAAATCGCGACCAGGACCTCGATACTACACGCTTGAAGCCGTGTATGTACAACGCAGCCCCCAGCTGTGACCTTTCGCGGCTCCGGCAGTCGCGTTACTTAAGTGACTGCTGTGCATCAAACACTGTCACTCACTTAAAATATGCGCTTGGGACTGGGATTTCAGGTTCAGACGGGTTTGTTACTCTGCGCAGTTTGGCAGAAGACGTGTAGTTTTTTTAGCATTCAGTTCCCAATTAGTGGATCCTCAGTATTTACTAGGGTTATCTGTGAAACTACGACGAGTAATTAAATGAGAGCGTACGAGAGTTGAATCCTACATGCTTGTATCGTATTGTGAAGCACGTAACAATGGAGGGAGCATCCAAGTAGGCCAAATCTTGTAGTCACTAGCTTCCAAATTCAGGCCATAGCAACGTCACTATAATCCGATCGTTCAATGACCAAATTGCACCGATTCGATCAGTGGATCGCAGAATGGTGTCCTGACCGAGGTCAGCAGCCACAAAAACGGTCAGCTCTAAAATACGCGTCATACCTATTTGTGACAACCTTTTTTATATCGAGCCTTAAATAGGGTCAGAATCAGGCAACGTTATCACCCCATTTCCCAAATCCCTAGAAAAAGTCGCATGAGCTCTTCGATCAGGATTGAGCGACATAATTATTCGACGCAAAAAGCTGATCTGGGATAGTCCCAGTTGCATAGAGCACGACGTCACGTGCGACACCGTAATCGAATCTTAGCAATCAAAGTCCGGGACGAAAATCCAGCAGTAGATCGTCCACAAGCTTCGTCCAGCATCTATCGAACAATTACGTGCAAATCATCGATTTCCTGCGACGTGTGAGCATCACCCGGTCTCTGCCAGCCATTGAATTCTGTACCCATCCATCCGGAAGCTTAACCTCCTCACCATCTCACGGTCCGTCCATAGGCGTCAGCTCCATGACGACTGCTACGCCCTCGGGCGTTCAATTGCGTCCATTGTTAGCTGCTTGCTTCTCTGCCAGTTTTCTCGGTGGTCGCGTCATCCGCGAAGTCGTACAGCACCACGTGGCCCTCGACCTCGTGAGTAAACAGGAAGACACGTACGACCCTCAGACTGTCGCCGATCGGCGTTCGCAACAGCGAATTATTCACGCACTGCGTCACTCGTTTCCTCACGTAACGATCGTCGGTGAAGAAGGTGAACTCGGGCCTTCAAGTGCAGAAGATCAAGTCAAATGCGACCTGCACGTGCTCGACAACGCGCTCTTTTCCAATACCCGCGAGGACGCCACTACCGGAGATCCATCCAGTTGTCTACTGGACTGGAGCGAGCTCGTGCTGTGGGTCGACCCCCTCGATGGCACGAAACGCTTTGCTGCTGGACAATTCGATGAAGTTTCGGTCCTCATCGGTATCGCTTACAAGCGACGGCCTCTGGCAGGCATCGTGCACTTACCTTTCAAAGGAAAGCAGGGTACTACCTATTGGGGTAAGATCCAACTGCTCTTGGTTCCAGGGTATGGAATGCCTCGTAGATACAGTGCTCATGCTGCTTGTTTTTCTTCCTCTTTTTCTACAGGTGGTCCAAGCATTGGGGTTTTCTGCAGCATATATGAAGCCAGTGATGCACCAATGGACCATATCAAGCTTCTCAAAGAGCCGACCATGTTTCCGAACCGACAACTGATCTGCACCGTGTCATCCACGTCTTGCAATCAGGTGGACCAGGCCTTGAAGTTGCTTGCTCCTGAAACTGTTCGAACAGGTGGGGCGACAGGCACAATGGTACTCGGTCTTGTAACGGGCGAAAGCGACGCCTTCTTCCGTTTCAAAGCTGCTACTCGCAAGTGGGATATCTGTGCGGTCGAGCCGCTTCTGGAAGGACTTGGTGGCCAAATCACTGACACACATGGCAACAAGTACTTGTACGACCACATTGGCAACGCACCTGAGTTTGACAATGAGCGTGGACTGCTTGCTACTCTCGAGCCAGAAGTTCATCAGATGCTGTTAAACGCCTTTACTAACGTCTCGCTCATGAGGTAGAGATACGCAAAGACAGCTGAGTACTGCCATCTATTCTTCAAATATAGTTTGGTGCTCATGTCCGGCGTCTCCTTGTGCTGCAGTGCATTGGATGGACGAGAAAAGATGCCGCAATGGTTTCAAGAGTGTATTTTCGTTGGACGTCAAGTGGGTGGCCGTGGACATGGTCCTTACATTAGCTCATTGCGGCAAACACTCAGCTACAGCAAAGCTCGACGTGCAGTTCCAAGATGACGATGAACACCGTACAACAACTCGCGTGTTTCTCAAGAAAGCCGCAAAGAACGAACTGCTTTCGAGATCCGTAGGAAGCGCGACGTTGCTTCGTATTGCACCAAGGCACCTTATTACGCACGATTCGCCTCGACGTTGGAAGCACGGGGCGTGTCTCTGATTCGATCGCTTGCAGCATTCCAGAGTGATACTGCTGGCAACTGCACACCCAACCAGGTGGCAAGGGGGTCAATGATTCAGAGTGTCAGGCTCGTTCCCCGGATCCAGTGAACTTTATGGTGCTCCTCGAACGGCTCGGCCCCGCCCCATCCTCACTGTCGAGAGTACCCGACTAAAAGTCTCTCGTCAACTACGAGGCCGCCGACTGCCTCGATCTTGTCGATACGCAACAAGCTTTGAAGTATCTTGCAAATCTTCGTGCTTCAGCTTGGATATTCCAAGATCTCAACGGTATCAATAGAATCGAACACCTACCCGAGACTTGCTGGTGGACGTTATCGAAACGAGGCGAGGAAGAGCACGCCCAAGCTCAGCAGATTTGGCCGCAGATGCTTCGGGCCTGGGACATAGTGTCTAAAGACCGAGTCGGTCTTGCCATCGGAAGCCGAGCTGAAATCTCTTGGAGAATGCATGATCCAAGAGGCGGCAAACGTCGTGGCGTTCGTTTGGCAATGGAGTGGCGTGGGTCGTGGCGTCACGGACGTCGCGACTCTGCTCAATACGTCCGTGAGTGTCTCGGTCTCTTCAACTGACAGCGACGAATCCGAGCTCAAGCTGCTGCAGTCGTGCTACCACCACAACATGCTCGCAACTTCGAGCCCTCGATCCTTCCATTAACTTGGAATTAAGCTGCTCCTTTCAAGCATTCGAGCGCCATTATATGCTCGCGACCCTCGAGTGCACGCGCGTGCTCCTTGCTAACTTCTCGAACCACATGACGCCCAGCTCTAGTGCAGCAAAAAGCAGCTACGTTTACAACCTGCAACGAGTCACGACCGAACGAGTGACTGTATTACCATCCCCCGTCTTTTTCCAACCGATCAACATCATCGCCAGTCGCTCCATCCATCAATTATATACGACCCGGGGACCTCTCGGATTGATGTCGTCCATCCTGTATACCCACCACCTCATTCCACTCCACTCTCTCTCTCCTGTACATCGTCTCTTTACCCTTCGACTCTTCTCTTCTTCTATACAAAGATACACATCCCTCCCTCCCCCTCCCCCCTCCCTTCTCCACTAGCTACCGCCCAACCCCGTCTCTAAATCATACTAAAGTGGGAAAACGCCACACGGTTCTCCACAGCGTCTTCGTCCTGCTGCGAATACGCACGTCGAAGTGCATTGGCCGATCTCGACGTGGGCAAGACACTAGCCGCTGCTCCGAAAGCTCGAGGCGTGGCCGTCCCCTCCTCACTGAAACTATAGCTACTTCGAGAGCTCATGCTCGGCGACAGCGGGGCCTTGGCCACTTGGTCGTACGAGTTGAGGTTGGCGACAAACTCGGCGTACTCGGGGGCGTCACAGGCCGCTGGATGCGCCTCAATAGCCGCCAGCACCCGCTCCAGTGCGAGGCGCTTTTTCTGCAGTGCCGTCTGCGTCTCGCCGACGAAAAACGTCAGGAGACTGTCGTTTGGCATCTTGGGCACTGGCGCCTTGCCACTTTGCATCAGGAGCGGCGCCACGGCGTCGTAGAGGCGCTTGAAGTCGTCGAAACTGCGACGGATTGCGTACGCTTGGGTCGTACAGGGTCGAGCTGTAGCCATGTCCGCTTGAGTCTCTTGTTTTGGGGTCCCCTTCTTCTTCGAACGACTGGCGAGCACGTCGGTACCGAACCTCCCTGCGTCGCTCTCTTGCATGTGACGTGTGACGTGCAGTAAATACCGCCAAGTACCGGTCTTCCGGTCCTGCACGAGGCCCCGAATGGCGACGTGTTGGGAACTCTTGAAACTCTCGTACGGCATAAGTGCGGAGCTCCTGAGCTTGCGAAAGCGGCTGTGAACCGGGTCGCAAATGTGCAAATGCCAAGAGCTTGGAGCGGGCGGAATCTGCTTTTTTTTTTCTCTTTGTGTTTATTTTTTTTAGTCCTGCTCCTGCTACTGCATTTTTCTTCGTTGTCTTCGTGTCGCAGTAAAGACCGAGGAGACGATGCAGCCTCCACCACGACCGTGCGTCACCAAAAGACTCGGGGGTTCTAGATTAGCAGCGACTCGTTTGCTCGCTGGGGTTTTGCTGCTGCAAATCGTCGCGTACGACTCGCACTTCTGTCGTGACAGAAAAGGCGAGAGGCGAAAGACTGGGGAGTTTTACCCACCGTTTCGGCGACAGGCGCGAGCACGGGCACGTGTGTGCGGGTGGAAAAGAGGGATAGGAAAAGACCGGGGCATGTGGCAGCATTGATACTGTTGATAGAGGGCGTTGATGCTTGCTTGAGTTTGTTTGCCACAACGTGCAACAAGTCGAACGTGGCATAGCAGGCACAACGTGTGACAGGCACGAGTGCCAGGATTTCGTGGCCGAGATGGCGCACGGTCCAACAAGGACGGGCTTTTGCATAGAGAGACAGACATCCACGTCGAGACGCTTCGTGGTCGACAACCGCTCGCAGTGAAACTTGGTCTCGTCCTTTTGGACCTGATGTCCCGTACGACGAAAAATCAGGAGCCGATCTGGAATGCGCACGACACCGACAGTCGTACCTGAGCAGCCCGCTATTGACCTCGCCACTCGGTCCGAACGTTCGCGCGTAGAGAAACTCTGGCAGCTTTTTCATCCTCGAAATACTCTCGCCAAGGTTTGCGACTATCCGACCATAGCAGCGCGTGACAACTTGCGATCGAGCCCTGCTTTTATTTACGCGTGAGTTGCTTGAATCAGAGAGCGCCTTTGCATCGCGTTTGCTTACGTCGATCCAGACTGTCCTGGAATCCCAGCCCGTTGTTTTGATCGTATGCTGACGGTAGCAATTGACCAGAGCTGTACATGCTTCTACGACCTAAAAAGCTCGTCGATTTACTCTTGTGTGGCATCGTTCGAACATCACCAAGATATCGCACAGACGACGGACAGGTCCCAGGTCTTGCATGTTGAAGAAACTCGCAGCGACATGCTCTGACGTGGAACTTCAAGCGGATGATTTACGATCACACGTACAGTGGAAATGGTTGAAGAAAAGATAGAGCTACTCACTGGCCCCAACACTGCAGTAGCTGGTGCACCAAGTGGCCTGCGAAAGGTCCTTCCATCGATAGATCATGTTCTAATTAGTTCCTCTTCAGTGTGTACCGGGCTAAGACGTTTATGCTACACGTAGTTGTTCCCGCCTGTTTGACGAAGGTGTTGCAGGGAGCGAGTTCGTTCCATGCTGTAAAGACACCGAGCAAGCAATTTCCAGAAAGTGTCCATCGATATCATCGTCGGAAAACTGTAGATACATTGTTGTCACTTCGATGAGCTGCTGGCGCGAAGTGCAGACATTTTGTCGCACCGAATTCCTGTCTGTGCACAGTCCGGCCTCCGATCAACAGCAAGAGCTCGTCGTCACGAAAAGGGACCAGCATCGTCGCCTCCAGCGAGACAGCGACAGCTATTCGCATCCTAAATGTAGAGTTATTGTCTCCATTCCTTGCCTTAGGTCTACTAAGAATCCTTTACAATCATGCCGTCAATGTACTTCGACTAATGAACCACTAAATTGATGCAAAAAGAGCTCATGAGAAACGAAAGCACAACCATTGAAGATATCGATTGACACCGTCCGTTATTGCGCTCAATTCTATGCAAGTTAAATAATGCTGCACGCAGCAGTAGAGATCGTCTCGTTCGGGTAAAGAGAACGCGACACCACTCTCATTCCAAGTAGCGAGCGACCCACCCCTATGACGATGTGATGGCCTCTCGATACATCCCATCGAGCTCTGTCCAAGCCGGACTTGACGTCTTGTGGATAGAACTCGTGCACTGACCCGAGAGCGGGGCCATGACCTTTCCACTAATGGACTCGTGACCTAGAAACTCCAGCACGTCCGGCAGGTCACGCGCCACCGCGTGGTTCAGCACGTCCGAGACGATTTGGGTCAGCACCTGACGACGCTCGTCCAGTAACGTCTGATTGTCAGCTAGAAGAAGCGTCAAGAGTCCATCAGCCGGTAGCGGCGTGAGGGCGTCGCCCATGACGGACGCTAACACTGTGTGGAGCTGCTTGAACTCGCTGAAGCGGCGCCTGATGACGTACTCGTGGCTGAATCCCTCTTCCACAAGGCCACGTGGCGACGAGTGCGTACTCGTGCTGCCACGTCGCACGTGTAGCACGTACATCCACGCGTTGGTGGCCGAGTCCTGCACGACCTCAGTGATCTCCACGTGTTCCTGAGGCGTAAAGCTTTCGTACGGCATGGTAGAAGAAGGAGAAGAGGACACGAACTGGTAGGACGTAATGAGAGATGAAGTAGTTGTAGCTGCTGTTGTTGTTGTAGTTGTTGTTGTAGTTGCCGCAACACTAGAGATGGTCGAGAGTCGGGTGCGTATCTGCTACACTGGAAACGAGCTGTCGCTGTTGACAGAAAGGTCGTGTGCTGTCAGATGCTCGAAATGTGGAATGACAGTCGAGTCGCGCGCGACGGCCAGCCACGACAGATGATAGTAGCAGCTAATCCAAAAAGACCCAAGCTGCTGCACGAACTCGACAGTAAAGTTCATAGTCAAGCGGCTTGTTGGAATCAAATCAAGACTTTGATTGGTGGTGTGAGGGAAATGCGTCGAGTGCTCGGACTGTTTGCTGAACTGTGGCGTAAAGTGGCTCCCAGCTGGAACGAATCTCTACGGACGTGATGATGAACACATCCTTGCTGATCGAGCGAGCGATCGTTGTCTTTCCAGACACTCCGACTCTTATGTCAAGAAGACAGGCTCATACGGAGCCTGCAGCAGGTCGTTCGTTGCCTTCTCCCCTATCTCCCCCAACCATGATCGCAACGCTCCATTAGGTCACAAGAATCCACTCGCTCACACGCACGTGCATATGTTGTCAATACCCGAAAAGCTCTGAGCTCGCAAGTCCGTGTTGCATGAACGCTGTGAATGCGTCTGACCTTACGCCTCTCTCGATTTTTTTGGTCAGTGGAGATGGAGCTCCACAATTGACGGTATGAACAACGGTTCGAACTCGAACCAGACTAGTCCCACGGCTCGCACCGCAAGCAAACAGGCGCCGACGAAGGCAATCACTGCAGCATCTGTTTGCTTTCGCTGGTTTGCCATCGCGGTGGACCAACGCATGGTGTCAAGTCTCTTGCGTCGAACAGTACCACTACCTGAATCTCGACGGAAGAGCCGCTTGGACCGGCACACACAAAAACGAAGCACGCCATGATGGTGCCATGGATCACGGAGTCTGACGTCAGAATGAAGCGGTTTATGCACGACGTACGGCATTTGGGTATCCGCGGCGCTCCATCCTCAGAAGCGAGAGAACTTGAACAAACGGTTGTTCCGGTCTCAGATGATCGAAGCTGGAGGTCCGCGATCAGATGTAGCCTGACATTGTCTTGTCGACATGTATGCGTCAACCTCGTAGGTAGGTGTTGGCAGCGAGCAAGTTTCTTTCGAGTACAGGGGCTCACAAGCTGCACGTGATAGCTGTCAAATTATAAGTTGTAACATGTAAATTGCGGCGATCGACGGCACCGTCGATGGAAAGTGCTACAAGAGAAGATGCCTCGAAACTCGGGGGTGCGATGGCGCGCCAGCCAGAGAGAAGCTCGTCTTCGTGCAAGGTAAGACACGTGAGCAACGAGTGTCACAGCATCATTATTTGCAAACACCACCCGATGGTCTTCTGATACGAATGACTACCAGCGGTCGTCGACCAGGTGGCATCAAGTCTATGTTTAAACGGACGGATGTTGTCCACGAGAAAACACAACGCGTTCGTGTCAGGAAGGGCCATGTAGTTGGAAGGTTCGTACACGAGGAACGCTACGGGCTCATCTGTTTAGTGCGACGCATCGCCACAGACCCACGGACACATGCATGGATTACATGAGCTAGCCTCAAGAAGTACACAGTCTTGCATTTTGCGAGAGGAAGTCGCGCGTCACAGACATGGTGCATGGCTATGGGATATCGATAGCTCGGTTGGTGTCGAGCGTTTCGCATCCATATGCAACCCTCGCCTTTATAATTTGAGACCATGCGATATGGTTGCGGCGCATTATCTGCTCAGGTTACAAAGTAAGCATCCTAGCACTCTCGGCTTGCTACGTATGGTGGAATATCTGACATCAATGTATAGTAGACTCGCTAATGATGGACGCTCGGCTATCCCCAAAGCCGCGCTGCAATATATGATGGAAGCCGTGGCTAATAAACACAGATATTTAGAAGCCGTGGCTAAATACACAAGCTGTTAACTATCATGATCTTGCCAGTCATTTTGACTGGACACTTGAGCCTTCAGTAGTGGGCAGCGCTTTAGTGGGTAATTGATTTGCAATTTGTATGAGAAATTGCCTGTTCATTGTGAGTGTGCTCCTCCACATTTCCGACCAGTGTTACTTTCTTCCTTCCGTATGCTCGAGATCTACTGTTTAAACACCTACGACACTGACTCTGCTCTTGCGCACTAGCGGCCACTTAAAACACAAGTCGAGAAGAACTGAAAGTTATTAAACAAGTTGATGGTCCTGGCTTATCGAGAACTCTCAGAGAAAACTATAGATCAATTGCCGGCCACGGTGGCCGTGTCCATTCGTCGTCTCGTCACGGCTCTGGCGCCACAAAGCCAGTCCGGTAGCCTGCTGTCTGGTATTCTCAACAAATGCATGCACCCTCAACAAGTGGTTTGCAAAGCATCGCATGGATTCGGTAAAGCACGCCAGGCAATGGTCGTCATTGAAGCTAAGCCGTGCCGACGTATTTTGCACAGAACGAGATCTCTATGCCACAAGATGGACATGCGACTTTGATTTTATACGGATCGCAACCCCGGGGTGCGCAAATGATAAGATTTTTATTAACGGAAGTCGCGCGACGCCGCACAAAAGCACACTGAAGTCAAGTACGCACAAAATGTGGCCTGCTTCACGTGGTTGTAGTCACCGGTGCAAGTCACGATCGATATTGGGCTTCAATTTGCACGAGTATTCTTCTCGAACAAAGCTACGCACACTGTCATGCTCTGCAACCCACCGTCTTGGTTGTAATTCGTGTGTGCCGAACTCACCAGTCTTATATAGAATGTATTCGGGCAGCCTCTACTGCAGGGTCAGGTAGCGAAAGGATCAGTCATGCAAGACAAGCTCATTCTATTGATGCTAACATTGACCAGGTATCTGCTTTCTTCTATCGTGTACGCTCCACTAGAGGAGCATAGGTACTTTCTTGTCGCACGACTGGCATGATGACGAGGTAACAGATCAAGCAGGCACGAACTGGAGTGAAATTGCTCATAGTGGTCTACTGACACGAGTACTTGACCTAATCTGCGGGCCTGCGCAGCGCTCAACACATTGTCACCGTGTCTTACCTCGATACACGCTGAGCAAAATTGCTAAGGCCCTGTGGTAGGACGTTTACGAAAGCGACGCTGCACTCGTGACGAAGCCTGTCGTGGAAAGTAATGAAGCAATTAGGAACTCCGTTACCTAATAAAGCGATTAGGAACTCTTTTACCTAATCGATGTACAGCTTAAGCGCATCTTACGATCGTCTAAGGTTGGGTACACACTCACCGTGGCATATGCTGCATTTTTACGTAGCTCGTACCAAGAGGGCAGCACAGTCGACACAGGAAACACTACCACCATTTCGTACATGAAAACAACCGCCCGGTTACCCTTGCAGTGGTATCGCCGCCACGATCGACCGGCATAGATATGACTTGTGCTATGCCAGGCGGTGTGTAGGTTGTTAGGACACAAATGTCGTTGGGAACAAGAATACAGAAGAGTCGAAGCTATCGCAGTCTAAATACTGCAAAAATATAGGTCAATTCTCAGCACTTTGGCTCGAGTCATTTTGACCATTATTCTGATCCCCCTTTCGGCAAGACCGCTTCACTGTCAAAGCGCTTCCTTTTGTTGTCTTGCTTAGCACGTGGGTCAAGAAAAGAGAAGCCCAACATCCGTGTACTGACTCGCAATTCCAGTAATATTTTGCCCGTCCTTCTGGACTTGATGGAGCGATAATGAAGTGTCTACAACGTGTTGAAGCTGATATTGCGACTGTCCAGAGCGACCATAGACACAACGGTGCTTTCATAGTACGCGAAGGAGAGTGGGGGACCTGGTCAGACCGAACACCGAATCCTTCATGCTGGTCATGTCGACAACTCTAGCCTCGTCGACTTAAAACAGGACGTGACTATAGTCGTGGGATGGACATTGGGATACGTATACAAGCTTCTTGTAGTACGATAGACGGCTTCACATTTAGTCCTCAAACGTTGCGATGTTATTTTGTTAGGACTTTGTGAGAAGTACAGGGTTAACAGAAAGCTACAAGGAACACTTGAGCACAATGTACGCCAACGTTGCCAAATCGGACCATGTTATGCCGAGGGAGGCGATCGGACGACGACAACAAAATGCTCGAATTAAACTGTGCTTCATGTGTGACTTCCATGACACAATCCGACTGGCGGTAGACGCCAGGGCTTTCTACCGCGTAACTGCAATCATCCGGATTTTTAATAATTTGGACGTGCAGCGAAGTCAGTGTCGACCTTAAATTGAGAAATTAGAAACACGGAAAGATTAAACGCACCGGCCGCGAGTGGTTTTTTTACCAGTGATTTGTTTTGGCCAATAAAAACGACTTTTCAATCGTAATCTGTTGCACCCAATCTAATTCTGATGATGCCATTCTAATTTCGAGAAACAAACCCTAACTTGAATTTAAGATAGGGGAGCAATGTAACCGTGTAATTAATCCAGGATAATTGCTAATTAGAATATTATCGTAAAGGTTGAGACTGCTCGTAAATATTACCATACGGGGTTATTTTCAGACACACTCACCGATTGGCTGGTATGGGTCATCATATCAGCCAGTTGTAGCGGTCCAATCAATGATGGACGCGCACAATGAATGGTGAGCAAGGCTTTAGCATGCACTTTAGTAGGAAAAAATAATTAAGTTGCGACTAAAACATAAGCTCATGATCAGGACTCTATTGTATTCAGTACAATGTTACTTTTACCAGCAACTAGTTAGTTCCTAGTTGCTTTTCAACCCTCTGCCGAGTCAACAGAGGTAGCGAGGAACCACTCACCCTGCTGTCGGTGACACGTCTCATCAAACGATTTCCAGTAAATTCCTCGTGTGCCCCGTTACAAGCAAGCTTTAAAGCTCGCCCTTTTATATTCGTGTTCCAGATTAGAGAAATTAATCAAGTTGCAAAACATTGTAAAACAGCAGCATGCACATACGAAGGAGTACGATGCCGTTAATGTCTGTATTAACCCAGTACTAGATTCATGCAACGAGATCAGCTTTACTCATGAGCGCACAACGCTTGCTTACAAGAGGAATTCTCTCGATCGATCTAATGCAATCACGTGCGTGCGTCATTAAAGTTACACAGCCAAATCTTGAATTTAAATACACCTGAATAACTATGAGAAGGGGGCGGGCTTGCTCGCACTAAGTTAGGGCAATGTAATTTAACCGGGTCACATACATACATACATACATACATACATACATACATACATACATACATGCATACATACAGATAGGAACGATTATAAGACGTTCGACATTCGACCTTGCGCACACTTACCAATAGTTTCATCCTTTGGGCTTGATGAATTGTAGTTGCTATAATGGTGATTACTCGAAAGCACTGAGCAGGAATGGAATGAGAAAGTTAAGAGAGCACAGAGATCAAACATACGTTGACAAAATTAGAATAAAGTGGATATTTATACACGACTAACCCTATCGAGAGGCACAATACACTTGTTTCATGCTTACATATTAATGTCATACAAGCATCATGTATAGTTCAAGCAGATATGGCTATGTTAGCATCGTGGTTAATGCATTCCTGGCAGAATCATTAGCATACCCGTTCATAAAGTGTGTACATAATGTTCATTACAGCAGTTATGATCGATTTTGCAGCCAACAATAATCCGCCAAAAAACGTCACTCACGATAACTACGATAACTACGACAACAACCACGACGCCACATCTGTCAGCGCAGTCAGATTTATGGCAAACAAGGTTGAAGTATGCCAAATAAAGGACATTTTCATTCAATTCTTTGATGTCAACGGAATCTGACAGACGTTGGCCTGATTGGAAATCAAAACGACATAATTTATTTTTATGAGCATGCATATGTACGCCTTAAACAAGTGTCGTGTCTCTGTGAGAATTTGACCACATTAACTGATCCAAAATATGTGGAAGATTGACACGTGTGTCCATTTACTTCCCTTTTCGTTTCCTCCATTATCTTGTCATTCGTTAATCGCCGCCTTCCAGCAACCGTCATTACATCAAATGCAATTAAGCGATGTGAAGTAGGGTAGTATCTCAATTATAATGGTATCATCAGAATTAAATGGACGTAATATATTGTAATGGAAGAGTGGGTTTCTATAGGCAAAAAATCGCCGGTTTGATGAACACTCGAGACCGGTGCGCTTCACATTTCCTTGAAATATAATGCTTTGCTAAAACAAAATCTATATACCCCAAGAATTAAAAATACGTATAAATTGTACCAAAGTATTTCGAAGTACCTCGCAATTTTAGTGCGCGCGAGAATAAACATGTGCCCGAAATGTAAACACAAAGATTTTTGGCCAAGTTTTTCTCAGGACTTGTCACACGCGCTTGTATCAATATATTTGGAATTGTTTCATCTCGCTGTGCGGTCGCCTTTTTGTTGTGATGACAAGTAGAAGAATTGTCACAATCGAATCTAGTTCATATTTTGACCAACACAAAAGGAAAAATTTCATTATTGAGAGCTTGTAAGCGACAAATATAGAAGGATAATGCATTGTAGAGACTGGAACGAGCAACGAAAGTTAAGTGTATTATGCCTTAAGCGCATAAAGCAATTGAGCATATATGCCAACATTTTTTAAATGGTAACAGCTACGTGATTACTTTC